AATAACTGACTGCATTCCCTGTCCCTGTGCTCAGCCTGTGCGTGGGAAATATTTGGGACTTGGTAAATACATTTTGGAACAATGTTGAATGAGTTCACAATTGACATAGTTGTCTAGGACCTGCCAAACCACGGGCTGCTTCCCCTATCTAACATAGAGTGTACTTGTTTGCTTGGAATTATGTCCTCTAAAGAGTTATGTTCGACCATTAACACCCGGTACCTGTGAATATGACCTTATTTGGAAATAGGGTCTTTGTAGACATAATAAAGTTAAGAGGAGGTCATACTGGATTAGGGGCTACCCCTAATCTTATAAGAACAATAGCAGGTGTTCTTACAAGAAGGCGAACATTTAGACACAAAGGAACAGGGGCACACGGAGAGAACTCCACATGGTGATGAAGGCAGAGACTGAAGTAGCACATGCAGGAGCCAGGAGATGCCAAGGATAGCTGACAAGCACCAGAAACCAGAAGGGAGGCATGGAGGGAGCCTTCTTTAGAGTTTCTGCAGGGAGCATGGTCCTGCTGATACTTTGATATGGGGCTTCTGGCCTTAATAACTGTAACAGAGTACATTTCTGTTTTTTTAATCACTCAGTTTATGATAATTCATTAAGGAAACTCTCGAAAACAAATACAGCACTTTATTCCTTTCTTGGCACAGCAAAATGAAATTTCAGGGCACACACAGAGAGGGTTTAACACCCCTTATTCTCTTTCAAAAGAGCTGAAAAAGCACCCAGTTATTATTTATACTACTCCCAGTTCTCCGTCTGAAGATGAGACTTTTCAGTCATGCCAACAGTTCTGGGTTTCAGAATTTAAGGGCACACTATGGAGAGATTGCTGGTGAGTTTAGCTGAAGCTCAGCAGTCCCACAGGGTTTCTGTTCCAAGCAACAGATGAGAGAAAAGAGAGGCAGAAATTATGAAGACACCTCAATTCCCTCATGTAGAACACTAAGCAGCAGCTTTCTCCCTAAATGATTCTGCAAAAATATTTATTCTAAAACATCATCCGTTAATCTCACGTGCTTCCCAGGAGAAGGGAAAATCATCATGTGTAAGTGTTAGAGAGTTTCAACACCTCTCCTCCCAATCAAAAAGGGTACTGTTCTCTGGGGCTTGACGTCTGAGGGCCCTGTCCCCCTAGACTAGGAGCCTCATGATAGAGGAACAGCCCCTTTTTGTCCTTAAAAATTCTGGGATGGGAGGGTCGGAGACAGAAAGGGTCCTCCCAGGATCTGAAAACTCAAAGGTTGTCTGCTCCTTTCTCTTTCTACCAAAGTCTTTGAAGACACAGAGAGAAGCATTCCCTGACTTTCCCATCAGATAATATTCATTGAGCATTAAATCCTCCAAACAGCACCATTCATACAATGACTAGGTTTTCATCAAGCTAGAGGTGCTGCTCAAAACCACAAGCTTAAAAATGCTTTCAGTTTAACGGGACAAAATAAAATGAACACAGAGTATTTTTCAAAACTGCCTAGTTCTGGGACAATTGCTGCCAATCAGCCTCACTCCTTGCAATCTCTTCGGTCCCAGCATTGACCTTGGGTCTCTGACAAACTATTTGCTGACTCTCTACGAAGCCTGCTATGTATGTTTTCTTCCCAACAGGGCTACTTGAAAGCCCCCATTTGGCCCAAGTCCCCAAATTCCCTCTGATTAGCTCTTGGCCTTCATCCTACTAAGCATGAGATCTGCTGAGTAGAATGGCTGCTGTACCCATCCTGACTCTGGCAACAGGAGCTTCTGTTTTTGCTGAAGAGGGAAAGGGTCTCAAGGGAGCAGTTTGGGTTCAACTTGGATGAAGTCTTCAAGCAGTAGTCTTCAAGGAACTGCTCAGAAACAAAGTTCTCTTTCACTGCATCATTTAGATTTTAAGGACAATACGAGCATCTAAGAGAATTGACTGGGCGAGACTCTAGAGAAATGTTTATGTTATCTTGGCTAAACTGTTGGTGATGGTTAGAAGAAGAAGGAATCAATAAATGAAAAGAGAGAAAAAAGGGGAAAATGACTGGATCTGTAGGAGCAGCAGCTCTTGCAAATCAGATTTGGAAAGAAGCAAGGACTTACATTTCTATCTTGGAAGAGAGACCCTCAGATATCAGTAAGTGATCAGGTCGTGGCCAGTTCAAATATTCTGAAGTGTTCTGATAAGAATTTAATAAGGACCACCTCACACATGCACATGCACACACACACACACACAAACATACCTTTCCCTAACTGAAGCATGCAGTTGGGGAATCTCTGGAGTCCAGAAGATGAGTCAGCCTAAATGACTCAGCAAGGAGGAAGCAGTGCTGAGGCTGTTGGTGGAAACACAGCTGGAGCTAATGCAGATGGGACCGTGAAGACATTGTATGAGGGCGAGTGAGGATGTGGCTGTTGTTCCCCAGTAGTGACCATCATCCTGTTACCACAACAATAACCTCAAGTTCCCAGGAGGAGCCTGAGGCAGGTCATTTCTGAATCCAAGTCAGTTCACCTCCCAAATGGGTTGATAATGGCAACTTTCCTGCCTACTGACAGGACTCTTGGAATGATTGTATGAGACAATGGTTGCTAAGGAACTTAGAAAAGTACCAATTTCAAACATGTGGAAAGGATTATAAGCATTCTCATGACAAGTTCCCCACCACCTACTGGAGGCACAATGCCTGCTTATGGGAAGAAATGGGGCATCAAAAATTTGAGGTGTGGGCTGGGTGAATCAAGGTACTTGCAGAGTGAATCACTGCAAGCTCAGGTGACCTCGTTATGCAATGTCAGGTGAAAATGTATTTGGTGAAATTGGGTGGAATTTCCCTCGAATCTTGGGATTGTAAGCCAGAAGAGCACCCCGTGAAAGCTGAGTCACAGCGGGGTGAGTTAAAGAGCCCTCAAAGAAGAAATCGGGAGAATTGGATCTCATCTCCGGCATGGCAAAGCCTGTGCCTGTGCCATCAGCTCTCTCTGCGTCTGTTTGCTCACTTGTAAAACAAAAGTGTTATCTCATAATCTTTTCTGCCAGTAACACTTTGTGAGAGTGTGTGTGTGCACATGTATGCATGCAAGGCCCTGCTTTATGCTGATGCAATGCTTTGAAAAACATTAGCTTCTCTTCTACAACATATACTCTGACATCCATTCAGTTCCCCAATTTCCCAGCTCCAAAGTGTACTCAAATTGTCGAGAAGCATGGAGACATCATCCTGATTTGCCAAGTCTGGGTAGGGTACCCCTTCCCCCAGACTCCACCTTTATGCACTGTATAAACTTGGGCAAGTTACCCTCTCTGGGCCTCATGTACTTTATTTGTAAAACAAAGATAGTAACTGTACCTATCTACAGACTTGGAACGAGAATCCAATAAGATACTTCATACAAATCATTTAGCACAATGTCTGAGTCTTTAAAAAGACTAAAGCAACATTCTCCCAGCAATAAACATTATCACAATTGCTATTATCATTCCTGCTATTACTGTCATAGTATTGTGTATTTCCATACCAGGATATATCCCTCCAAATTGCAGCTGTGTGTTTACTTAAATGGAGAAATCCATGAAGGCAAGGATTGGGCCTGTCCCGTTCTTCACTTTATCCTCCATCCTCTGCTGAATGCCTGGCTGATGGCAGTGCTCAATACTTGTCCTGTTAGATGAATGAAGGGTGTGAAGTAGTGGTTCTCAACCCTGGCTGCACATCAGAGTCACCTGGATATATTTTAAAATTCTGATGTCTACTCCCATCTCCAGAAATTCTGATTTAATTGATAAAGATTAGGACCCTGGCATTAATCATTTTTAAAGGGTCCCCGGGGTCTCAGTGGGCAGGAGGAGGTGAGGCTCACTTGTATAGAGTCTCAAAGATTAGTCACACCATTGATTTCCAAACTTTTCATTTTATAATAAAACCATTGTTCTCCACAACAAAGTCTCAGATCGAAATCTACTTCAAAAAAGAGAATGATGCAGCTTCCTCTGGTAGAAGTGTTGGAGGTGGGCACTGGGGCTCTCCATCCGACTGTGTGGGTCCAAGGTGGTCCACAAAGCCCACAAGCCCCTAGAGACACAACTTCCTAGGATTCAAACTGTCCTCTCCTGAGCTCTAGGCAGTATCTTCTCACTGCACTGCACTGCCAGCCTTGTTGACTCCTCATGGAACATGATGCCATCTTCACCCTGAAACTTGGTCTAAGACATACTGCAACTGTTTTTCTTTTACAGCCAAATTCAGACACTCTCGGCTCCCAGTGAAAATCATTCCCAGGCCTTGCAGATTGAGGAGACAAAAAACCGCCTAAAATATATAAATAATTCAAGGCTAAGTTTATTCATGATGCTGTGTTTTCTCCAGGCAGCAGTTTGTATAATCTCTCTTACACTGCCAGTTGGGCAGCCTCCGTAGCATTTATTACTGCAGACAACCCGTTAGAAGCTGTTTTGATTTATACATCTACATTCTATTACAGAGGTAAGTTTAACAGCACACTGCAGTTTCTGCTGCTGACATTGTAGGAGGGGAAAGAAAAAGAAAAAAAAAAAGACAGTGGAGAAAAGAATAGGAAATTATTTCTGCCTTTCCAGAGGAGAGCAAGGAAAATGGGCCTGATATTTTAATGACATATTTAGTTAGTTATCTGGAACACAGACATACACATACTACACTTACATACAACAACATATGTTTATTGCATCATTATGTCTTCACAAGACAGCAAATGTTTATTGAACATCTACTAAGTGCCAACTTACTCTGTTAGGTCAGAAGGATATATTGGTGGATAAAAGAGACAGTTGTTTGTCTCCTTTGTTATTACTGTTTGCTATCACCAAACAATGTCTCTCCAACAATGCTTAGCCCGGCATTGATACATGGTAGATACTTGATGCCTGTTGAGTGAATGAGTGAATTCAAAATGATAAACAAGATGAAGTTATATTGCAACTGTTCAGTTATCTGTCTTCGTGACAATGCTACATAAGATGAACCACACAAAACCTCATTCAACAATAAGCCTTTATTGTTCATGCATTTAGGACATTAGACTGGTTGACTCTGCTCATCTGTGCTCATCACCCAAATAGCTCAGAAATGGCTTGCAGTCCACTGATCAGTTCAGGCTTCTGCTGGGTCCAGTGGGATGACTCAGCTCTGCTCCATGTGTTTCTCATCCTTCAGCAAGCTACAGCCCAGCATGTCCTTATGGCCACGACAGAGAGACAGAGAGTAAGTATGATGGAAACACATGGGCCTCTTGAAGTCTAGACTTGGAACTGGGAAACCATTACTTCTGATACACTTGATGAAACAAGTCACAGAGCCAGCCCAGATTCAAGACATGGGTAAAAGAGTCCATCTTTAGCATGAAGATCTGCAAAGTCACATAGCAGAGACAAGGCTAAAGAGATTAAGAATTGAAACCACCTTTGCAATCTGTCACAGGAACCCAGCAAATTAGAGAAAAGGCAGTGATGGAAACCCATTTCTCAAATGAAATCTATTGCCTTTTCCAGTATCCAAGTGTATCCCCACCCAGCCCCTGAACAAGGCTCTTTGGTGAGTTTAGGGAGGATGCAGATATCTCTCTGGGAATAGTTCGTTGTGTCCTGAACGTCCTTCCCTCTTTGATCCTAGGTCTTCACCCAGGCCCTACGTGGGGTTGACACTGGCTGTGATCCATTGTCCTTGCTTGCCCTTGTTCTTCCTATTCCAGTTTAATCCATCACATCAGGAGACAAAATGTGTTTATAGTACAATGATGAGACAGTATTGTAGCTACCATATATTGGCAGTTTACCATGTGTCAGGGCCTGTGCTGAAGGACTTTGCTTACACTACCTCATTTAATTCTTATGATGACTCTATGAGTTAGTTATAATTATCCCTCATTTTACCACTAAAAAAGAACATTCACAATACTGAACGAGATTAAGTAACTTGTCCAAGGTTTCACAGCTAGTTATTAATCAAGCCAGGTTTCAACCCTAATTTGTCTGAATGCAAAGTCCATGTTCTTAATCACTGTGCTATGCTCTGCCTTCCTTAAACTGGGAGTTCTACTTCACTAAACCATTATGCTCACATTGGTCAAGAATTACCACTTCCTTAAAGCAAAGAGATCATGATATTCTGCCTGGCTCCCTCCTATGAGACACTGGGAAAAAAGGATTGAAGTTCCCACAACATTTTGAATTATTTTGCCCTAGAGACAAGAGGTTGAAGAGGTTCACTCAACAAGGGCAGGTCATTAAGTTTTCAGCCTCGTGTAATTTCTACCAGCTTTCACCAGAATATCCTAGGCTTGTTGGAGTTAGTACTAATGAGATCATAGATTATAGATTCCATCAGGAGGAAGAGGGATTATACAAAGACTTAGTGGTGCTTATTGGTATAACATGCACTATGTTAAATCCAACTGGCCCAAAAATAAATGCAATCTATGATCTCATTTGCATATTATCTCTCTTTGCATAATCCCAGGTCAGGAAGGAGGCTGGTTCTGGACAAAAGAGAAGCATGAAAATTACATCCACGCTATTGCAAAAGCTTATTCCTACAGCAGCACCTTAATGTGGACCAATGGGAGAATGTAACCCAGTGGAATAAATGAAAGCTCATTCCAAAGCCAAGCTGTGGAAGGGCACCGAATTTCCCACAGATTGTCTGTTCAATCCCCAGTATCAACAGGGTAATGTCCAGCCTCCCTCCTCACCTCCACTTGACATTTACACCCAACGAACAATGGTCAAATGGAAATCTACTGCTTAGTTTATAGGTTTTCGGGCTTGTGACAGTTCCACTGTAGATCCCTAATCAAATCTGGATTCAAGAGCATGGCTTAGGTTTAAAGCCCTGAGAGGAGCGAGCTCAGGCATGCTGGAGAAGAAAGATATATAACCAGTCCACAGCACAACTAGGTGCACTGAGCCAGAAAACTGTACGGGTGAGAGTGACAGACCTGCTTCACCCCACTCAAGAGGGAGTTCAGTGGGCACTGACTTACACTGGGGATGGATGGAATCCTCAGTACGAAATGGAATCCTCAGTACGAAATGTTTACTAAGTCAGCAAAAAAGATGAAAGAGCACTGATTATGTTCAAGCACAAGAAAAAGTAGAGATTAGAATCCTGCCTTTAAAGTGCAGTGAAGGCTGGGCATGGTGGCTCATGCCTGTAATCCCAGGACTTTGGGGTGCCAAGGTGAGTGGATCACCTGAGGTCGGGAGTTCGAGACCAGCCTGACCAACACGGAGAAACCCTGCCTCTACTAAAATTACAAAAATTAGCCAGGCTTGGTGGCACATGCCTGTAATCCCAGCTACGCGGGAGGCTGAGGCAGGAGAATTGCTTGAACCCCAAGACGCAAGGCAAGGTTGCGGTAAGCCAAGATCATGCCATTGCACTCCATCCTGGGCAACAAGAGTGAAACACCGTCTCAAAAAAAATAATAATAATTAAAATAAAATTAAAAAATAAAGTGCAGTGAACTCACTCACTAATAAACATGTCCCAGAAAGTGTTAAGCCTGGATCAATGAGACTGTCAATCCCTCCCTCCTTGAGACAGAGTGAGTGAGGGAGTAGGAAGAGGAACATACTCTTTGTCTTCAGCATCCCTCCCATGAAGAGGATGGGCAGAAGTCACCCAAACCTTGAAAAGATTCTATACTATGAAGAAATGGACATCAGCATGGCATCGCTCAGCAAAGCCAAGAGAAGGGTTGCTAATTCTGAAGACTACAAAACAAACAAACAAACAAAACAAAACAACAACAAAAAAAAACCAGCCAAGTGTATGAGAAATCAGACAGGAAGAAGCTAATAGGATTGAGGGGCAGCCTGTTCACTGTACCTTTGCCTCCTGGGAAGCCAACCTGTCTTTCAGGCACAGCTGTAAAGCGTGGGGGCAAAGTCGGGTCCATGAGAGAATTCAGAGGCATAGCTAGAGGAGCCGATGCCAGAGGGGTCTGCAGATGAGGCAGTAGTTGAGGTGTGAGCCAAATGGGAGGCAAAGGACCAGAAAGAGGGGGGAGGAGATCCCCAGAGAGGACAAAAGGGAGGTGGTGGGGACTCACTCGACATAGGACATCTTCCCTTGCAGGTGGATTTCTACCTCCCCTGGAGGGCTCAGGCCAGGGTAGAATGGACAGTGTCCAAATGATGCTTAATGAACTCCTCATTTTGATTTCTTTGTTCTATGAAGGCGTGTGCAACTGCATTAGTATGCTCAGCAAAAGGCCTCCTTTTGTTGTGGCAGGTGCTGCAGGAATTCAGAACAGCTGATGTTTCATAAAATCATGAGCCTGCAGAGAGCCCTGGGAGGTCAGAAAACCCAAGCCCCTGCCTCTCACATCTGTTCTATCAGTGGAATGGTGCTGCAGTTTTAAAATCATGTTTATTGTACTTCATCTTCTTATTTTAAGAGAGATACACTGGGTGCACTTTTATTGGAGAAAAGGTGAAGCAAGCAGTAAAGCACAGAGAAGGGAAAAACAGTTTCTAATCTTACAGCCCAACGACAGCCACTGTTAATATTTCAGCAAAGCCCCTGCTACACTTTCTCTCTCTCTCTCACCCATAGGGTATGGGTGTGATGTGTGTGTGTGTGTGTGTGTGTGTTGTAAGTATATAAAAAGAATGTGGGAATTTTTCTGTTATTCCAGAATTAACAAATAAAACTGTGAACAAAGAGGCATTAAGTGCTACACATTCTAAATAAAGCCAAACACCTTCCTTGAGTCTTTCATGAGGTATATGACCCAGTAATCCTACTTCTACTTATATATCTAAAGAAATTGAAATCATTATCTTGAAAAGATACCTGTACTCCCATACTCAGTGCAGCATTATTCATAATAGTTTAGATATGGAAACTCTATGTCCACTGAGGGATGAATGGATAAAGAAATTGTGGTATATACATGCACTGGAATATTTCTCAGTCTTAATAAAGAAGGAAATCCTACCATCTGTGACAACATGTATGGAACTGTAGAAGATTATGCTAAGGGATATCAGTCAGGCACAGGAAGACAAATAATGCATGATCTCACTTAAAACATGAAATTTAAAATAGCCAAACTCGTAGAAGCAGAGAGTAGGATGATGCTGCCAGGGGTTGGTGCAGGCGCAGGCAGGAATGGAGAGATGTCGGTCAAAGGGACGAAGTTTTGTTATTTAGGATAAATAAGTTCTGGATATCTAAAGTAAAGCATAGAACCTATAGCTAAAAATACAATATTATATTTTTTTAATTTGCTAAGAGTGTAGGCTTACTTTAAGTGTTCTACCACCAAAAAAATAATAATTATTAGAGTAAAAAGAACTGAAAGAAACTTTGAGAGGTGATGGATATGTCAGTCTTTGACCTTGGTGGTGGTGATGATTTCACAGTTGTATACGTATCCTCAAACTCAACAAGTAGTAAAAATTAAATATGTACAGCATTTTACATGTCAGTCATACCTCAATAAAGTGGTTTTTAAAAAGAGATGGCTGAACCTCACTGCTACCTGCAACCATAATTCAACACCACCACCAACCACTACCTCACATTCTGTAAAAGTAGATTGGAGAACGGGGCCATCTATAATTGCTGGGTGGAAACGCTGGGCTAGAGCACATCTGAGAGCTAAACAAAGGGTCTTCCCAAAAGATAATTCATAAAGATTAGGAGCACCTTCAAGAAGGGAATGCTGATTTCTCATTCCCATTGAGCACCTGATTAGAATGTAGCCCCGTTGATTTGCTCTGTTCCCACTTAAGTAGGAAAATAGAGCCGCATTGAGAGAGTGGGGCAGAGGGAGACCGTTGGTGGAGCAGCCTGTTCCTCTGCATGGCAGAGAGGCGCCCACCTTCTGGAGGTCAAGGGAACTGAAGAAGAGACTCACACAAGCATGTGGGCTGCCAAGGAGAAGGACCCAAGCAGCAGGAGGCTGACAATGAACCACAAGGAGGCATCTGAGGGAGGGTTGGGATCTGGAGTTAGATCTTCTTTCTGCAGTTGGGAGGGGGCTCAGAAAAGTGACCAAGCACTGACCATGAGGGAGCCACAGAGATGGAAACCAACCAGAGAGGGCTGTAAGGACCTTCAGCGTGAGTCAGAAAAACCACTAACAGAGTGCACTGTGCCTGCCGTGGGTTAAATAAGAAATGCCTGTCCTTGGCCTCTTTCTCCTCCACTCACCCACACACCGCAGCACCTATCTCCATATGAGGGGATGAGGAGGACCATTCCCAGAGAAAGGATACAGGAGGAAGGGTAAAGAGCAGATAAGGTCACTCCCAACTACCTCCCCCAAGTCTCAAGCCCAGATAGCACTGGAGTGACAGGAAAAGATGAGACTACTCTCTTAAGCCAGAAGAAGTTGTGCAACCAAGAGGAATGGGAAATTATGAAATCTGCTACACTATGAATGAGAGATTTAATACAGCATTATTGGGAACAGGGACTAGGGAAAAAAATCCTTTGATGTTTGTAACTCAGCCAGTTTATATACTTCAATAAACCCAAAATACATACACACACACACACCCCTGTGTATACATGTACAATTTTAAAAATCCAGTCAAAGTAAAATATAGCCAAAAGCTGCTTTATTTTTTGACACTCTGCCTTTCTTCCTTGATCTTGTGATCCTCCCTTAGTGAAATTAAAGAATTTAAACTTAAACTTGGTGGAACTTTATATTATTTTGAGCCTTGAGAGGAATGTGGCTATGTGGCCTGCGTCATGTGTAGCATACAGCTGCAACTTCGGCTTCTCCAATCATAGATTAACTCCCTTATTTATTCTTGTACTATAGACGATAAGGAAAGACCAAAAAGTATGAGAGCTAGGACTCCCAGGAATCTATTACCCCTGCTGATGGAATGTTAAAGCAATCTACCTTGGAATGTAGGAACCTATAACCAGTGAAATCACTGTAACATATGTATTGGTCTTACAAGGAAAATATTGCAACTGTTAAATTTCTCCATCTCTGCCTATGTAAGTGAAAGCCTTAATTTCCCTACTTTGGAACACTGACCCATTCTTTTGGAATCCGTGTTTCCTCCTGGGTTGCTACCCTCAAGTTTTACACTTGAATAAAATCTACTTAATCATATTTTCTGAATCTCATTATTTAAGGTTGACGCTTCTCAGCACTTGCATGAAATCTCATGCAATTTCCATCATTTCTCTACTCACTTTCACATATAACAAAGTTCATACTCTCTCTCAACCAACTTAAAACGCTTCTCCACTCCACAGTGCATACGTGCCTTACGCTGGGAACCTGAGGGAGGAAGGACATCGTGGTTTCAAGGCAGGTTTCTTCACTCTCACTTGCTTCCTCAGTCCACGTTGTCCCTCACTTTCTAACTGTTGTTTAGAACTCTCTAAAGAGATTACAGGGCACGGTGGCTTTGTAACATGTCAGCTTAGCTAAGCAGGAACTCAATTCCCAGAGTTTCATCTCCATGAGGTTCCAAGTTGAAGAGGCTATAAGAAAAATGTACACGAGATAGAAAAGACCATAGTGAAGAAGCAGCCATGCTTAACATCTTCAAGTTTGGTGTAGGCCGCCAGACACTGGCAGCTCATGCATGTGGCACCTCACTGATCTGCCAGCTTGTGTTGCTGGTATGGGACAGCACCCAGGCTTACACCTTCTACATTGTGTTGCTGTGTGGGGCAGGACCTGAGCTCACAGCTTCTAGAGTGTGTTGCTACTTTGGGGCAGCTCCTGAACTTGCAGCTCCTCTAGCATTCCCTGGATCTCTTCCTTCAGCTTATTCAAGCCCTGGGTCAGGTGCATGTGCAACTCCATGTGAAGAGTACCCGTTTCCCATTAAGTTTGGAGGTAGTGGGAGACAGATAAATGCTTCAGCTTGTTTTTGTGGAATTCAGTACCTCTCATGGGTTTCCCTTGTTCTCCTGACTCCCTGACCATCTCCCATCTCAGCTGCTGGCTTGGGTGACCTATAGTGACTTCAGGCTCAACATCAGACACAGACCACCAGTCCTGCATGACATCCCCACCAGCTCCCATAACAGTGTAAGATCTAATTCTTACTCATAGTGGTTCTTCTTCTCTGATTGGGCCCTAATTGATACTCAGTTATAAAGAACATCCAATAAAGATACTCTTTATATTTATATATACTTCTTGATAAAGAAGAACCAATTCCTGCTGCTTCAGTGCTTGCAGTAGCTGGTCATGCACAACAGTATTTCAGCCCCTGCCTTCCTTTCCACTTACACATTATCTCATTTTGTCACTTCATCTCTCCAGGTAGCATCCTCTCAGAAAACTTTTACAGTGCAGCCCATAACTAGCTCCCTTCCATAAAGTTCACTTCTGGCATACCAGGAACACATATAAATCTTAGGCCAACTAAATTCTGCAACTATCATAACTTCTCAACACAGTCCTCTATAAATATTTTCAATCTAAGATCAGGTACTGGTGCTTATGTTCCCCAAATACCAAGAGGAACATATTAAGTTCTCCAGTCAGTTTTCTTTGGCAAATTGTTGTTTAGTAAATACATCTTCTCCACATGGTACAGCTTATTTCTCCAGTCTCATTGATGTAGGGCAAGTCATCTGACTTGTTTTTGCCAATCAGTTAAGGAAAGAAGCAACATTGTGCCAATTCTGAGCCAAGATCTTAAGAGACACTACATCTTTCAGCTGATTCTTGTATTTATCCCACCATGTCCTGGCCAACAACTGGTTCCAGGAAAACAAGACACAGTGAAGAGACTGAAACCCAATCTACATCTAGGAACAAGCCTGACCAAACCACAGTCTGAACTGGAGCTGCCAAGAGGAACTCAGCTTAGATCTTCCAAACTACAGGCTGCCTGCAACTTCATGAAAATAAATGTTTATTTTAATAACAATAAGATTATGAGATTGTTTGTTACACAGCATTATTATGGCGATAGCTGACCGGTACACTTTGCTTATACTGTAGTGAGAAGGAATTATTTGCCTCCAGTAATTCTCCCCAGCTCATTTTCCCAGATATCCAGTCTCCTATCAATTCTCAGCATCCTTTGTATTGAAGTGGGTGATGAG